TTGTTACAGTGAATTTTACTAATCAATTTTTTTTTGTTATTAACATAATGTTCTTTTTAACTAAGCGAATACTTGTAGTTTATAAAACATCGAGTAATGATAGGTCTATCGAGACAGTACTACATGTTTAAAATGTAATTAGAAATTATTTTAAGTGTAGATTCTGTTTGCATATATGATAGTTTCTATACGTTAGTGAGAGACAAATGTTGACTTTTAACATGAATTAATTAGACAAGATACGTGTGACATTCAGCTGAATGAAAAGAAAACAACATTTGAAAAAAAAAAGTCATTAGAGAAACGACATACTGAGTTACATACTTTAGTCTAGACTATATGTCCGAGCTATTTGGACTCGGCAAAAGAAGGAGTCCATTAGACGTTACAGTCTGAAATACTCTTTCAAATGGAAACGAAACTTAAATATATAGAATGAAAGTCTACAATAAACGTTCGATTGTGTTAAATGAGAATGGCCAATGTTGACAAGAGAACATCCTTAAATATCCCATCGGTTTTTAGCTGTAACTATGTTCAATTGATAGAGCCTAGTGAATAGGTATATCCGTCGAAATGCTTCATACTACTGACGCTTTGTGGCTAACATATCAAATTTTCTAGCAAAATGATGTTTTTGAATTTTGACATTAAACTTTGTCCATATAATGGCAGCGATTAGAGTAGTTTGCATCGCCTAATCGTTATCTTTATGTAGATAAATTTTCCTGTTGAAATTCAAAGGTGTGATGTGGCTTGAGAATATTTACCTAATCACTACGTTCTATCTGAATAAGTATAGCTATCTGTTTATCTTAGATGAAGTGATCGAGTGCAATATGTCTGCGCGTTAAGCTGGCTTTCTATCCAGAACTACAGCTAGTATTAATAGTAGACAAGATATCGGACGATTGAATCTGCTGTTAAGTAGTCATAAAGGCATGTACATTCTTCTTTCTTTCTTTAATACCCATTTATGAAAAGAAATCTAAGAAAGCAAAATAATAAATTATGTTCATTACTTACATCAGGTACTTCTGCATCAATTTCATTTAAACGAAATGATGAATTTGTAAGAAACTCCATAACAACATCCTTTCAAAAAAATACCAAAACTTTATCATTATTTTTTTTTTGTCAAAAAAAGTCTTTACCAATAATCTTCGATTTTGTTCTTTTTCTAAATAACTATCATGAAATATCATAGTCGAACCACAAACACATAATCGACCTCCATTCTATAAAAATAAAAATATAAAGCTTTTTTTTTTTTTCATTTGAAATAATTTCATACTTTTGATGGAGAAGTATAAAAAGCACAAATTGATCTTTGACATGGTAAACATGTTGAACCAGTCGAAAGTACAGGTACAGATGGTGGTTGAACATTAAGTGATGCACCAAATGGATAAACAAATTCAAGTGATCTATTAAAAGAAAAAAAAAAAAAAACAAAAATTTTAAATTTTCTTATTGTTTTTTTTTTTTCTTTCTATACCGTGCAACTTGAGCACGTAATGATTTATCAACAACAACAGCATTTTGACTTTTTTTATTTTTAGGTGTTGGTGCATTTGATGCAATTAAATGTGCATTTTCAGCTACAGCTCGATTTAGAACACCATCAAGAATAAGAGCTTCTTTTGGATAGAAATATTTATAATATGCTGCTCGAATAACACTATCTAGAAAAATTTGACAAAAAAAAACAAAATAATTTAATCTATTGATTATTAATTACAACTAAAAATAAATAAAATAATTACCATCATTAACTTCAATACCATAATTTTTAAGAAATGTATTCACATTTGTTGCTTGTCGTCCTTCACCACCTTCATTTAATGTTAATAAAATACTTCCACCATTATCAATATATCGTTTCATTGATTCATACTAAAGAAAGAAAAAAAATTGTAATTAATATCTTTTCATCTTAATAGAATAAATGTTTATTTGATGAATTCTTTTTTTGAAAATGTTTAAAAATCAATGAAATTTCTAATATAAAATTATAGAGTTGATATTGAATAATGTCTCTAAAATTTTATATCAAGTTTTATAATTTACTTCTCCTGGTGTAAATTTTTCTCTTGGATTAGCAATAATAAAAACACGAAATGGTGTTAATCGTTCGGCAGTAATTTCTTCGCGATGACTATTTTTAAAAAAGATATAACAATAATAAAAAAAAAAGAGTTTTCTTTTATTTTTTTTACTTTGATAATTTCCAATTTTTAAGATGCATTTGTAATTTTTTAAATCCATTTGTTAATGATATTTGTTCATTTTTTGATTGATCAAAAAGTATATTATTATTACTACTACCTGGTGGTCTTCCTTGTCCACCTCGTTCATCTCCATTCTAGAATTTAAAATAATAATCAAATGACCAGAAAAAGAAAAACAAGACAACAAAACAAAGATAACTTACTTCTGTAGGTGCCATGTTTTATTTATTAACACAATAAACTAACTATTCTTCGTTTCAAATGTAGTTAACCATATTGACTCGTGCGATGTCTCTAGACGACGTCCTCCTCAACAAAAATTATAAAACAACGATGAATCATCATTTAAATAGTACGTACAGGTGGCAGTCAGAATGATGACTCATACATGTGTCAATAATCATGACTATTCTGATATATTTATTAATGTTTTACGATGCTATTGCAACGATTATGATATATACGCATATAGTAAATATTAGTTTAGTCTTGTTCTTTCTTTGTATATATATGACTATTGATAGATCAAAGAGTTTAATCATATTAAACAGAGAAGAATTTTTTTATAGAACTGCGTACTTTTTTCTATTAGAGAATATTAATGAAGTCATTTTGATGATAAATGATTACATTGTAAAGAAAAATTTTATGTTATTTTTTTTATTTATAGATCTATTTTCTATTGAACAATGCCATTTACTGATAAAATCAAAGAATCGATCCACAGAATGACTGATCCATTAAAAAGGTAATTGAATAAAATTCGTTTTGAATTTCAAATCGATTTCTAATTCTTAGTTTTAACCATAAATCATTTTGAAGAGAAGAATTTAAAAATAGAAGTTTAAGGCAAAAATTTAAGTCGGATCGGTTGTATTCTAACCGAGAATCAGAAGTTAAGTCTTTAGCTTATTCCTTCTGAGATATCGAATTTGGACGATACTTTTGAATTTAATATCGTGCATCATCTCACGAATATTACTAAGATATTTTGATCTTTTTGTATTGTGAAATAACAACAGTGGAATATGTTGTCGTGTTGTCATTATTGTATCTTAGAATAGGAACAACCAAAAGATCTGAAATTTTCATAATAAACTATTCTGATTGAAAGGTATATCTATGCAAAGTTTCAAATCAAAATTCAAAAATCAGTACTTCAAAGTAAGACTATCGAATCATAACCTTAGAATCTGAACTCTTTTCAAGTTATTCATAACTCATGAGAATCAATATGATGCAGAATTGGAAGCGATCCGACTGTACAGGATCCGATTTTTGCCAGTTCATCATTAAAAAATTCTTGCTTGTGTCCAAGAATTTCCTCTACTGAAAAAGGTATTTTTATGATATTTTCACATCAGAAGAATGTGTTTGTGAAAGACTCGATGAATATTGTGTCATCCATCTAACTGTAAACAATACATTGTTTTCTCTGTATCTTTATCGATTCGTTTCTTGTGTACCGCTTAATTTAACATCGATCATATAATTTGTTTTTGTTATTCTACTTAGATAGCTGCCTGAATCACGAAAAATAAATATTTACACTGTTGTGCTAGATTTATTGTAAACTAGCTCTTTTTTCTTGAAATTAAGATGAAAAAAAAACAGATTTGATCTGAGGAACTAACTTATATAGATGTCGGGCTTGAAAAGTTCACGCACTTTGCTATAAAATATGATGGTGACATTTTCATTGCCAAGTTTTAGTTTTGCAGTTCCAATTAGAGGTGGCGATCGCCTGGTAACTTATTTTAAATTTACTCAAATTCAGATTAAATCAATCTAAATGCAATTTACACCCATTTAATTAGATTTAAATTCAATAAAATGAATTTAAATTGAATTTTATTTGGTTTAAGTTGAAGTTATAATTGGTTTAAACTAGATTTAAATAAATTTGAAAAATTTAAATGTATATAAATCCAACTTAAATTGAAAATCATGTTAATTTTTTAAATTAATTTTTCGATTGATTTAAATTTCGGTAAATGTAAATTGATTATTCCTAATTCGGATTTCTGCACATGAAGCTTCAATTCTCTTTCATCACTATTTTATGTGGATAGATGCTTTTATGGTCAGTTATTTTCGCCGGATTTTTGCCAGTTTGGTTGTAAAATTCATCCGGCTGGTTGCTGGCCGAACCGGACCGGATAGAAAAAAGCTGTCCGGTTCCAACTCTGAGGTGGACACTCATTTCGTCCCCTTACACTACGTCCCATTCACTTCGTTCCTCACTCATTTTGTACCTTTTCATTTCGTCCCAAATTCATTTTGTCCCGTTACACTGTATCCTACCGAAGAAGTCGTTTCTGACGATTCTACTTAATATACAATGTCATGTATTATCATCTTCTACGTTTAATATATTAAATAAAATGAAGAATGAATAACAGTTCAACAATTTAGTTTCACGTTAGCAGCCATACGGGCCAGATCTTGAGGGTAAGGGTCACAGCTTTCGCATCGAAAAATACGTTTTTCATCAGTCAATCGGTGTTGCATGTACATGAACTCACCATGATACATAATTGGATTTCCTCTTTTACTCTTCAAAATTTCAATATCACCCATCGCTCGTATAGATAGCAACACTTGATTGAATTAGCAGTTACCGGAATTTATTTTTTTGGGATTTATTGGGATTTTTTAATAAATCCATGTACGTTTTTAAATAAATCTCGCACTATCTTGAGAGTGAGGGCGCAGACGCCAGTGTGGGTGAGGGCGAAGAGGGCAGCAGTCGAGTGAGGGTGCACGAAAATCTTGATACAGTTAATAAATCCCCATAAACCCCCATTAAATAAATAAATCCTGATAAATCCTATAGAAGAAATAAATCCCAAAAAAATAAGTTCCGGTAGCCCCTCATGACGAAATGAAAAGGGACAAAATGAGTGAGGGACGAAATGAATGGGACGTAGTGTAAGGGAACGAAATGATAGGGTGCCAACTCTGATATGGTGTATATAGTTTTGGCTTAAAAGTGATTAATTAGTTAGGAAACTTCCTGCATGATTAACAATGTACAAGATAGGATAAGGAAATTTTTCTTGAGTACGTTACACGTTAGAGACAGAAACTTAACCTGCATACCTTTATTCATGACTCAAACATGTGAGTAAATTAGTTGAGTCATTAATAATGATGTTATATGAATCATTCATGTGCGACCAATTAAAGGATAAACGTAATAGCTTTATTGCTGTAAATATTTATGAAAAATACAGCATCTGACAAGGTAGATTTTTGTTCGTTTTATTTACATTAAGTTTTTTTTTATATAGATATTTACGGCACAAATCAATAATGCCACAAGAAAAAGTAACATCTAATCAAGCACTTGAATGGTGTCAAAATTTTCTTCGTGGTGCATGGTCAACAATCACTGTTGAAGAAATGTATATGCAACGAATTCAGTAAATATTTTGTTATATTTTTTTTGTTTTTTGAGTAAGAAATATTTTTATTTTATTAAAATTAGTGGTGGTCTATCGAATTATCTCTATTGTTGTTCATTACCTGATCATATTGAATTACAAGGTGATGAACCTCGAAAAGTGTTATTAAGGTATTTAATACAAATGTGTATAATTATTTTCACTATTTTTGTCTTATGAAAAAAAAACAAACAAACAATTAAAGAATCTATGGTGAAGCTCATAAAAAACATCGTGGTACTCTTTTGGTTGATAGTGTTGTATGTACATTATTATCCGAAAGAAAATTGGGTCCACATGTTCATGGTATATTTCCTGAAGGACGTCTTGAAGAATTTATTGAAGTAAGATAATATAGACAAGATCTTTACAATAAAAAAAAAATCTATTATATGAAAAGCTTGGTTATGTGTCTTAATAAGATGGATCGCTTCTTTGTTGATCAATTATATTAGAAAAAAAACTATAGTCTGCGGAAGGTTTTATATATTTTGTATTAGTATCATGATGCTAAAGAATAAATGATAGACAAAGACATTTGACAATTAATTTTCATAACATCACGAACATATTTACTACTCAAATGTTTAGTGTCTAAACAGGTTCTTCTGTCAGTTAATATAACATTTGAGAAAGCAGTCAGTTCGAATCGTTGACGAATAATATTAATTTTATCTATGTTGAATTTTTATATAAATACTAATGTAATATTTCCTAGTTTTTTTTTTGTTTTTCCTCATTGTTTAATTTCATAATCTTCTCTATCCTATCAAAATATGTGTAGGAAAGAAAACGTAATTTCGAATCGATTATTTTAAAGTTTTCGAAACAAAATTTATTCTAAATATTTTTTTCTTTATTAATTAGGCTGAATCATTACTTGTATCAGAAATTCGTGATCCAAAAATTTCACAAAAGATTGGTCGATTACTTGGTGAAATTCATCAACTTGATATGCCATTAGTTAAAGAACCGATTTGGTTATATAGTACTATTGAACAGTAGAGAAAATTTATTTTCTAATGTATTTATTTTATTTAATATGAAATATTATTTTAGATTTCTATCGGATTTACCAACAGATATACATAAATTTGACATTGAAGATGATCGAACAATATTTCAACAACTTCGATCTATATGTAATTTTACTGAAGAATTCGAAGAATTAAAGTAATTTAAATTTTTAATCGATACATGCTAATCTACATGAAAAACTTTTCATAAGTTAAATTTCAGTTCCAAATTCAATAATAAAGTTTTATTAAAAATGTGTAGTCCTATTGAACGTAGTAGCAGAACCAGACTTCTTTCTAATTGTTCACAATTAAAATTCACAAAAACTCTTTTGAATTGAACAAAAAAGATATATTCAATAATTCATTTAATACTTAATAAGAACACGAACTGAATACAAACGAGACCATTTTGCCTATATTCTTGTTCTTGTCTAGTGATTTTCTGGTAAAATATAAACTCTAAAGTCTTTAACTATTATATGCGATTCCTTCGCATAGCTATTCTTGTGAATGAAATAAAAAGTTAATTTTGTATCGTACAATTGATGGAAAATTTGAAATTCTTGTTTTTTTTTTTTGTTTAGAAAAATTTTAGCAAGTGTTCAAAGTCCTGTATGTTTTACACATAATGATTTTCAACCAGGAAATATTCTTCGTATAAAATCTCGACCAGAAAATTATACTGTTATTGATTTTGAATATTGTTCATATAATTATCGGTAAGATAAAAGAAGAAAAAAAAACAAATAATGATTTTTATTTTTTAAGTGGATTTGATATTGGAAATCATTTTTGTGAATTTATGTTCGATTATAAATCATCAAAAGAATGGCCATTTTTTAATGTTGATTTTTCTCTTTATCCAAATAAAATTCAACAAGTAAATATTTTCTAATTTATTAAATCTAAAATAATAATAAATAAATATTATTTAGACTAATTTTCTATCATCATATGTTGATGTAATAATTTCTACACAAAATCAATCTATTTCTCAAATGAATGGAACAAGTAATGAAGCATTATCATCAACAAATAATAATAATAATAATAATCGAGAAGAATTAATAAATCAATTAATGAAAGAAGCTAATTATTTTACATTAGCTTCACATTTCTTTTGGACACTATGGTCAATTAATATGGCAACATCAACTGCAATTAAATTTGGTTATATGGTATGAAAATATTATTTAAAAAATAAAAATAGAAAAAAAAAATTTATTTTATTATCATATATATTTAGGAATATGCTCGAGCTCGTCTAACGGCATATTATTTAACACGTAATTTACTTATTGATGCTAATGAAATACCACCACGTTTTAATGAAGATATACTTCGATCAGACAAAAATCCTTTTAAAAATTTTTATATAAAAGCAGATAATGAATAATCATCTGATTAACTTCTTGGTTTTTTTTTTTTATTGTATAATTCTTATGTTTCAAAAAGAAATCTCAGCTTTTGTTATTCTAAACAAATTTTTGTCATTGACACTTTTTGCTTTTGTTTGTTTGTTTTTCGCATGTTTTTTTTTTTCATTAAACTGGATATTTTGATTAAGTTTTTTTTTTTTTTAACATATTCAGTGTTTCATTTTTTTTTTCTTTTACTTTTAGTATGAAACAGAATGTAAAAGTTTTATGATGATGATGATGTTGAAAATCTCATATATTATAGTCTGGCCATGAAAACAATAAAGGATGAGTGTTTAGAGATATATGTATGTATATGGCCCTGACTGACGATCATCAAAACAATAAATAATGGCCTTTGTAGATAGTAATAGTATAGTAACATCGTCTGTCCTTCTTTCCTTTCTCTTATGTTGATGTCATTAACTTGTTCTTTATACATAGGAGTTTTATTACAAGGTATTCGTATATACAAATAGTGTATTTTTACAACTATGGCAAAAAATATTATTCTAATTAGTAGTATGTATAGAATATTGACAAAATAACAAAATGTTTGACAAATTATCAATAATTTATTCATTCTATGTTTTTTTTTTCTTCACATACTTATGAAGAATAGAGAAAAAGTTCGATCATAATCGAAATAATTTTTTACGTTTGATTGATTGAAAATTTCATTGATGTTTGTTCCAAATAACAATTCTCTGTTCTATTTTACCACTTAGTATAAAACTCAATATTACAAATATATTTAGTTAACAAAAAAAAATTTTCTGTTTATACTATTTTTTTAATCAAACATTGTAGTTATGATAGGCTTCTTCTTTTTCTCCCGAAATTTTTCCTTTTCTTTTTGTTTTATACTTGTTGTCGTCAAAGGACCACAAATGAGAAGAAAGCAAAAAAAAAAAAGAAAAAACTAGATTATTACTATATTATAACTACATAGTTTTATTTTTTTCTTTGTCCATATTGATTTATCTCTATGTATTTTTTATATATGCATCGTTCTCGTCTGACATAAAACAAAAAAGAATTGTGCATGTGTATTAATGTCTACATATATATACTTTTCTTATTTATTCAATTTATGAATGATTACTACTTATATTTCCCTCATAAAATGATCTCACATCAATCAAATTCTTCTCTTCATTTATAAGGTAGCATTTTGACCTTAGGCTTTATCACATACAGATGTTTATCTCTTGTTCCTTTTTTTTTTGTGATATTGTTCTCTTATGACTTACTAATGATAGATGAAGTATAGAAATCAATTCTATATTGTCTAGTTTTGTTATTAGTGTAAATATTCGAATCATAGAAAATTGTGATATCGAATAAGATCATTTTAAAACTTTAAGTTTATATTCTAGATTTTTTCCTATTTTATTTAATTATGGAAGTTAATGAACGATATATAACAGATTCTGATTCAGAAAATAAAGTAATTTATTTGTTTGATTGATTGATTTTTTTTTTTATTAAAATTTATAATTTTAATTATTTATTAAAGATTCTTTTGGAACCATATGAATATATACGTACAATACCTGGTAAACAAATTCGACCAAAATTAATTAAAGTAATTACAAAAAAAGTCGATCGCTTGTTTTTATTTTTAATTAATGTAGGCTTTTAATTTTTGGTTAAATATACCTGACGATAAACTTAATGTAATTGGTGATCTTATTGAAATGCTTCATAATGCATCTTTACTTATTGATGATATTGAAGATAATTCTAAATTACGTCGTGGTGTACCTGTTGCTCATAATATATATGGTGTACCATTAACAATAAATGCTGCAAATTATATTTATTTTTTAGCTATGGAAAAAGCTCTTACATTAGAACATTCTGATGTTACACAAATATTTGTTGGTTTGTTTTTTTTTTTCAAAAAAAGAAAAATTTCCTTTTTTTTTGTCTTTAGAACAAATGTTAGATTTACATCATGGACAAGGTATGGAAATATGGTGGCGTGATAATTTTGTATCACCATCTGAAGATGAATATCGTCAAATGGTTATTAAAAAATGTGGTGGTTTATTTAATTTAGGTGTACGTCTTATGCAATTATTTTCAACAAATGATATATATCATAAATATAAATTTAATAAATTATGTCAATTATTATCATTATTATTTCAAATACGTGATGATTATTGTAATTTAATATCAAAAGAATATACAAATAATAAATCATATTGTGAAGATTTAACTGAAGGAAAATTTTCATTTCCTATTTTACATGCTGTTAATACACATGATACAGATACACGTATTATACATATACTTAAACAACATACACAAGATATAGATTTAAAACGTTATTGTGTACAATTATTATATGAATTTGGTTCTATTGAATATACAAAACAAACATGTGAAGATTTAGCAAAACAAGTATATGATGAAATTCATATACTTGGTGGAAATACTTATTTAGAACATATTATTAAAAGTTTAATGGAAATATTTCATAATGATCATGATAATGAACATGAACAAGATTTAGAAAATAATCAAATATATGTTATTAATCAACATGATGGAAAAAATCAACAACATCTTAGAAATCGTAAGAAAACTATACCAACATAATGATTGACAACCTTAAATGTAATTGTATATTTGCTATGAACTACACAACAATTAATGTATCTCATAGTGAAATAGGTGCTACTAATTTTTGCTAGTCATCTTGTTCTTTCATATATATCATTTTTGGTTTTATTGTTTTCTTTTCATCGTTGATCGAATATTTCTTTTCCTTATATAATTTTATTTTAAAAAGTAATGAAGAAATTACTATTGCAAAACAAGGAAAATAATTAATTAAAATATTCATGATATTATATATAAATATATAACCAGTGATCATTATTAAAAACAAACTTATTTTTATTCAATCCATTAAAATCAACATCTGAAAAAATGGAATTAGATGTTTTAGTTTCTTTTTTCTAAATAAAGACATCTACATTTTTATCAGGTTTCTTTTTCACTCCTATTTTTACTTCTACTGTCTGTGGGTGTGTGTGTGTGTGCGTGTTTGATGAGAGGTTTTTACTTTCTTTTCTTTTTTTTGTTATATTTGACTAGTTTATGTCCTTGTAACTAGGTCAATAGAAGAAAAGTGAGTGTGTATACAAGAATGATTTCATTTTTCAGTTTTTTTTTTTTGAAGAACTATTCAGTAGTTTTATCTTTCATATTGATCCAATTTGTTGTTAATATTGATTAATTTGGATTTTTTTTAGCAAAGAAATAAATATCTTTATCTAATATAAATTATATTTGTCTATATATATTATTGAGAAAATTTTTATCAAACGATATTTTAAAAAGTAAAGATAGATTGTATAAAAAAAGATTAACATTCATATGTAAGATTAAGGTATAACGTTTTTTATTGAAGTAACCTAACTTTTTTGTCTATCAACATAATAAAAATAAAATATTATTTTTAAAAGCAGATGTTAATCTTTCTCAAGATTGATTTATAGAATTAATTGATAATAGAAATTTCAAAATTTGAATACAAATTAAATTTACACTGTCATTATAATAATAATAATAATTAACATCGATATTTTTCAAAAAAATTCTTTTTTTTTTTATTTAATCTTACGAAAGGACATTTGCTCTGTGAACATAGAGTTACTAATATCTCAATATGGATACGTCTATCCTAACTTAAATATTGAGGCATTCCAGTGACAATAGTTGAGTATATTTGTTCATAACTCAACAAGTAAAAATTGGAAAACTAAATCAAAACAAATTTTTTCACTACTACTCTTAAGTATTTGAATCTTACGTTAATGTGGGTAACCTATTACAGATCTTCATGTAATATGTTTTTCTGCATCTATTTTAGTATCATTGAAATAAATTGAAGTACTTATTTTAATTATGGATGCAGATGCACAATTTTTAAATGATTTTCAAACGGCAGTTTTACCATTTGAACAATGGACACATGCAGCTCATATACGTATGGCTTATTTAGTTTGTAAATCATCGAATAATTTCGATGAAGCTCTATTAAAAATTCGACAAGGTATACAACATTTTAATGGATTACATGCAGCTAAACTTAAAGTTGGTTTTCATGAAACAATGACACGATTTTGGACAATCGTTATTTGGAATGCAACACAAAAATGTGATTCATCTATATTAAATTCTAATGATTTTATTGATAAAAATTCTTATTTATTGGATTCTTCATTATGGAAACAATATTATTCACCAACACTTATGTTTTCATCAGATGCAAAACGTGATTTTATAGATCCTGATTTAAAACCAATATCAATTGATAATTCACATATCCCAAACTAAATATCAATCGTCTAATACATATGATTTTTCAAATGAAATGATCAATGATAGTTAGTCATAAAATATTTTCGATTATTTTTTTCATATTATAGAAAATTAAAAGTTATATTAATATGAAAATATGATTAATCTTTCGTTACTTAAACAATAATGCGAACATATGAAACTTTTAATCAAACGCGAATAGAGATTTAACATTTAAAATATGTAATATTTCGCGAGAGATACTATTAAATGATAAGTTTTTGAAAAATAACTTTTTGGGACTAGGATTCCGATGGTCGGAGCCTGTCCGGTGGCTTAGATTGGTAGGTTAGCTCAGCCTATCTCCTCCGCCATTGGTTACATCACTGATAGTTCAAAACATTTTTAATTTCAATATGAAATAATGTTTGTAAAATTGAGCTATTCAACAAAAAAAAGAATAAATTCAAATTTACTATTAAACCCCCCCCCCTCATAATAAAAGACCCCCCATATTAGAAGGCACCCCGTTTTAGAAGACCCCTCCGGAGGAGTCACTTCATAGAAATTTCTTTTTTTCACCAGCAAAAATTTACAAAATTTACAAAAGTTCGCTGGACCATAATAGAAGACCCGGGGTCTTTTATTGTAGGGGGGTTTATTAGAATCTTGAATTTTCTTGTCCAATCCTTAATCATTGTAGTCGATTTGAAAAATAATTGCAATGAGATCTAATATCAGTCATAGTTTATTCAGAAATTCAATGTTACTTATAATAAAAAAAAAAGAAAAGATTTCATCAAAAATTATATAGATCAAATAATATATTATTATCTTCTATGGACATTCCATATTATGCATCCAATTCATCCAAACTCTTAAATTTGTTTGTTTACATTTATTAAACATTTTAACATCATTATGATGACAATCAATTTTTGGATTATACCATGATGAAAAATTAAGTCGATCATCTATAGATACTTGAGTTTCATATGCCATTTGACATAGTGGACATAAAAGATTCATCCATGTTGTAGGAAATTTTGATTCAATTATTGTATATTCTCGCCATTGAAGATATTGAAGATATTTTTCAGAATTATTTATAAGATAATTAAGATATTTAGCAAGATCTTCAGGTGTTTTATAATTATTAATATGAATATAAGATTGTTTAGGTGCTATAAGTTTATAATCATTTTCATTTGCACCCATAACAATAGGTACAATACGATAATTATTATTTGATATAATATTCCAAAATTTTTCTGTTATATATGAATTACAACGTGTATTTTCAAATGCTAAATAAAAATAATATTCATCAAGATTAATATTACATTGATGATGATTTTCTTTTGAACATAATATACCACATTTACCATAAATATCAATATGAATAAAATTTTTTAATTTTTCAACATATTTTTCACGTTGAGAAAATGTTATACAATTTGATACAATCCATGCAATAGGTTTTTTTTTTAATTTTAAACTTTTAATATTTAATTTTTGTTCATATTGTATTTGACTTTGATATGATAAAGATAAATTTGATTGATCATTAGATAATATTCGAGTTTTTATTATTGGTGAGAAAATTGAATATGGTGAATCATATTTATATGATATTGATCTATCAAAATATTGATCTAATAGATGTGGATAAAATGATGGATTTTGATAATAAAAATTAATTGGACTTTCACCTGTAATAAATATCCAATTTTGATTATCAATTTTGAATTGTTTTCTTTCTGGTAATTGATTTCTATTTATATCATATAAATGAAATGCAACGACAGATGCTTGAGATAATTTACGTTTATCACGTGTAAATTGACATTGATGTATTGGTGAACAAGAAATAATTGTTGATAAATTAAAAAATAAGTCTTGATGCCAATAATAATTATTAAATAGACTAGTCCAAAGAAGTACAAGACGATAAGATTGCGATTTATCATGTGAAATTAAAGTATAAGTAGATGTATTTATATGAAAAATATGCGTAGGAAAAATTTTTCTAGATTGATTTTCATTATCATGTTGATTATCATAAATAGAATAGAAAAAAAACATTGTAAAAAAAACAAAAAACAAAATAACAAAACGAAAACGTTGTATTTGATATTTTTTAAACATAATAATAATTAAATATTGTGTAAATATACTTTTAAAACGAATTAAATATATCTGATATACTACATAAAATAAAATTTAATTTATTATTTTTTGTTTTCTTTGTATTTTAATATTATTTATTTGAACTTACATTTTTTAGAAAAAATAATTTGAACCATCTTAAAATAAAAGAAAATATTTTTTTTTTTTTGCTTTAATTATTTTTATTTCAAATTAAAATGTTCGCTTTTTTTTATTTTTTCAATAACGAATTTTTTTATTTTGACAATAAATAATAATAAAAGAGATAGATTTTTTTTTCATTTTATTTCGTTGATGATACACTATCACCACTAGCTGTTGCTTTTTCTTTATGTACGACAACACCACGAGCAATTAAATCAGGTATTTCAACAGCCAACCAAGGACCAAGCTAATTGAAATAAACGAAAAAAAAAGAGATCAATATTTATCTACATGATTATATATATTTATTATACTTACACCAAGAGCTAATGCATGTGCAATACCAAAACGTGGTACATTTCGAGCCCATAATGGTTGAAAATGATCAGTCATACAAATTTTTCCTCCTCTATATAAAAATAATTCAAAAATAAGTTATTAAAAGTAATACACTTACCGATACATTTTTGCTGTTTTTCCATCAAGATCTGGTATTGCAATTTCAGGAGCTGTCATTGGATATGTAACTGGTATCTATTTCCAAAAAAAGAAAATTTATAATAATAATAAAAAAATGAAAATTTACATCAAATTCAATATCAAATTCATAACGTAACATATCTTGTATTGTCCATGCTTTTCCCCACCAACGAGTTCCTTCTTGATTTGATTCAAGACGAAACCAATCATTATCAGCATCCTTATTATTTTTAACATACTAAAATTAATATATATATATTTATCTAACAATGATAGTAATTCAACTGTAACTATAATAGTTAATTTTAATATCGAAACAAATCTTTTTTTTTTCTAAGTTAAAACGATCGACTTTAATCTTTACTTGTATTAATGATTGAAGTTCTTCTTTAAGTCTTTGTCGCCATTGTTCACCATCACGTGGACTAGCTTTTGTTTTTAATAATGGAATGTTTGATAAAGTTTTTTTTGTTACTTCGTCAACCATCTGAAAAATATGAAATATATATATATATATATTTGGTTTTTTTTTATTGCATTAAATAGAAATGATTTTTTTATTTTTATAAAAATTTCACGCCATCAGCACCATTTTCAGAAAATATAGTAGCTTGACCACGTTTTTCAAGTTCAAATAAAATACGATGAAAAAGTTTTGAATCAATATTATGAAATTCTATATAATAGAGAAAATTTAGTAAAAAAAAATTTTTTTTTGGTAAAATATAAAATTTTTATACCAGCTGAACGTGTATCATCACCATGTAATAATTCATAGAATGTACAAACAGTTCCATTCATACCTCGTGATGTAATCTTTAATAATAATTAAAAAAAGAACTCAAATAGAAAATTTAAAATAAATTTACCCATTGATAAACTGTTTTAGCCCATTCTTCAAGTGATTTCCATAATATTAAACAACGTCGTTTATTTTTATCTTCCCATTCAATATTACCTATAATTTTATTCAATAGAATATAATAGATTTCTTTTCTTATTTTTACCTCGACTACGTAATTCTTCAAGTAAAATTTGAATAAAATTATTATCTAATTGACCTAGAAAAATAAATTAAATTTTAATTTAACATAGATTATATAATCAATAATACATACGATTAATTTTTGCATTGATAAATGGTGAAAATTTACTAGCATCATTAACATCAAATGTACAAACTTTTTTCAAACGACAATAATCTAATATAAGTGAACACCAAGCATCAAGTTGTTTACGACGTGTATCAAAATTTGGTTGAAGACTTAAAACAAAAAAAACGACATATAAGAAAAATTACAAATATCAACAGCAACCGTCAAAGTTCTTTTACAAAGATTTTCAACTATAGAAAAAGATACTGAACGGTATATATGCCTCTAGAAGATCGACACATATTTCTTAAATTAGAAGTTTTCAAGAAACATTGAACAGTTATGTAAGATCATTTCTGAAAATTGTTAATTATTTTTCAAATATTCTTTACTTACGTAAAAAATGGTGGAAAATCATGATACCATGATAGATCAGATATTTTCGTTGATGCCATTCTCTTTCTATTCTAAGAAAATCTACAAGAGAAAAAGAAAAAACATAACAATATAACAATCGATGATTTTTATTGATGATAATTTTTTATTTTTATTTTTTCAATAACGAAAACAAAAACATTTTATGTTAATGCATCTTCATTTCGAAGAAATTCACCAACATCAGCTTGATGAAAAACAACTAATGCCATTGGATCAGCTGCTCGACATTCAATTGTTGATTTTGCTGCTACACCAAATCCCTAAACATATACAAATATATGTAATCATCTAACAAAATAAAAATTATACTTACTAATGGTACATCATTCATAGTGTATACAATAACACCATGATATTTTGGTGTATTTTCTGTTATACGTCCTAAACCGGATTTTACAACATTATGTCCATAAAGAAATTGTTGTTCAGCATTTGGTTTAAGCCATATTTTAAACTATTTACAAAAAGAAAAAAAATAGATTTAAAAAAAAAACGAAAAGTTTATTTATCTTTTTTACTTTAGCATATGGAGCAATAAAATCAAGTGCTGTTATATGTAAACGAAATTTACGTGTTTTAGTAAAACGACCAAAACAAGTACCAAAACTAAGTAATTCTTTTCGAGGAAAATTACTGGCATATTTTATTATTGCTTCACTAAAGAACAAAAATAAAAAAGCTTTCGTATAGATTTTTTTTTTGTTTTGAAATCAAACCTGCAATAATAAACACGATCACGATGTAAACGAAATGTATAAAGTCCATCAGGACGTTCTAATAACATGCGAACATTATCACCAATACTAAATTTTGTAATTGTTATTTTACATAGAATATATACATATACAGTCAAAGACAAAAGTTTAAACGAAAATGTATTTTTGATTTTTCCTATAACAACAAGCATCTTAACTGAAATACAAATAGTGATTCGGATAGCCAATGAAGAGCTCTATCAAATGCATTCTAGACCAGAATTACATAGATGATTTAAGATAGCAAGGTTTCTAGAAAATTCAAAACCGTATTTTTCGGATCTCAGAAGACTTTGCAATAATTCGTTTCTAACAGTACCAACTTAAAGAACATAAAACTTCCCAGGTCAAACGACCCCAGTCGGATCTCGCTAGTTCGGAATAATTTCGGTCGGATCCGGTCCTATATTTGTCGGATTCCCATCAGCCGGATTCCGGTCCGGATTTCATCGGAATTCGACGGAACGTGATAAAATCCGGCCTGATCCGACCCGGATTTCATCGTGTTCCGTAGAATTCCGATGAAATCCGGACCGGAATCCGGCTGATGGGAATCCGACAAAAACCTTGTCGGATCCGATCGGTTTTTTATGAAAGATGTCGGATTCCGAGGCGGATCCGATCGTTTTCGATCGAATCTACAGGTCGGATTGAATCTCCTGGGTTCTGAAGAAAATGAAGGGTCGTCGTCTTTCCTTTCAAAATTTATAAGCATTACAAAAAGTGAAATTTATCAAGAAACCGCTACAAATCGTATTTTTGTGATGCTTATAAATTTTGAAAGGAAAGGCGGCGACCCTTCATTTTCTTCAGAATTTTATGTTCTTTAAGTTGATACTGTTAGAAACGAATTATTGCAAAGTCTTCTGAAATCTGAAAAATACGGTTTTGGATTTTCTAGAAACCTTACTACCTTAAATCATCTATGTAATTCTGATATAGGATGCATTTGATAGAGCTCTTCATTGGCTAAACCGAATCACTATTTGGATTTCAGTTAGATGCTTATTATTATAGAAAAAAATCAAAAATACATTTTCGTTTAAACTTTTGTCTTTGACTGTATATCACTTACTATTTTGAAAGTTTTTCAAATAGGATTTTTGTTTCTTCATCAGTTAATGGACGCATGTTTAAATTTGATCTAAAACACTTAAAAATTTCTTTCATATTCGAATAATATTCATTAATAAGATATATATATATAAGAAACTTGTATTTTAATTAAAAATATCATCAATACAAACGTTTGTATTTCATTATTGAATTCGAGAAGATTTTTCACTTAACTGTATCAAATATAGAAAAAGTTTATTCGACTTAGAACATAAATTGATTGTGAAATAGATAGATAGATCCAAAGGCCCTTATAAATATTATTCAATTGATTATATTTTTAACAAATAAAATTAATTTTATTCTAACAATAGATGTCACTCATCAAAATTTTAATAAATTCAATTAATCTATGTTTTAAATAAACAATCTATTTTAATTTTTCATAATTTATTTTATAGAAAATTTTTTTATTAAATTTCTTCATATTGAAGGTTAGATTCATCGTTCATGGCCGTATCCTTATATTGAGAGTTTATTACGTGATTCTTTGAACTTGTTGTTTGATATATTCATATACATATATTTTACACATCGTATTATTTTAAATAAAAGGATGCAGTCAATACTGCATCTTACTTTTGTCTTATTACTTATTTATTTAGTATGTAGAAATTTTAAAAAATTTATTCAATTAGTCTTTTTATTTTGTATTTTCATTAGACAAATGCTGTCGTTCTTAAAACATCTATGACTAATAATTATCCTCAAATAGCTGTTTTAGGTTGTGATAGTCATAAAGCTAATTTGTATTATGATATTGAACGACAAGTTTGGGTTGAACATTTAATTAGTTCATGTGTAAATAATGAACAAAGTATTCTTGAATTTTGTCAACAAGTAAAAAAAAACAGAAATTATCTTTATAATCATAAAAATAATATATTTTTTTTTAATATTTAGGCTTATCCAACACTTCATATTGGTAATATTGTTCGATTAGATACAATATTATCTTTTGAAAATTGGTGTGAATTAATAACACCAATAATTGATAAAAATGGTGATAATATTCATCGTTGTAAACAAAATAATGATATAGAAGAAAAAATACAACCATTTCGTTGTTTATATCAAAGTTTTCAACGTGAAAAAATAATATTACCAACAATTGATTGTTCAATTCATAGTATTATGAATACAGGTGAATGTTTACGTTCTGAAAAATTACAAAAATTAGCATCAATTGAATGTGCTAATAAAACTATGAATTTAAATCATTCAATAATGACACTTGATTGGTGTGGTTTATCATTATTTCGTGGTATTGAATTTGTTTGTTGTCCAATAAATAAAAATGATGATAATGATTATGAAACAAGTATTGATGAACAAGATAATAATCTTATTGAAGATAATCCTATACAAGAATCAACACATCGTCGTATTATAGCTATGACAATTGCAACACGTAATAAAGAAGAATTTATTTAAATGTTTAAACTTTTTTTTGTTTGATCTAGGTGAACCTAGTTGGATGGAAGATTATCGTCGATGGAATACAGATTCAGCATATTTTGCTGGTAATTATATATATATATATATATATTTGATTGTATTGTTTATTTTATTTTTAAATATAGATGATGAAGATATGAATGATTATCAACCATCACCTGTTCCAAAATCTGATGAAAATCAACGATTTACAAAAGATAAAGAAACATTTAAACAAAAATATAAAGAACAAATTGATCAAGTATATTATCAATTTTAAATATTTATTTATTTATTTATTTTTTTTCATTTTCATTACAAAAATTTATTTATTAGTTAAAATCTCGTTGGCAAATACGTCAAAATGAAATTCAATTATTAGCTCATCATAATATAACTGCAGCACAAAATCAATATGAAATAAGTGAAATACAATTTCGACAAGAATATGAAATAATAAAACAATCAGCTAATCGAGAACGAATACGTATGAATGAATTACATGAAATACATTTAGATATTATACTTAATGAACTTAAAACTGAAGCAAATAATAAATTACTTAATATATGGAATGAAAAACCACTTAAGGTATTAATTATATAAACAAAAAATATTATTAACTATTGATTATTACATCATCATTTATATATATTCATCAACAGTTTGCTTATCTATCTATCAGAAAGATACATAAAAAAAAAAAAGGTCGATTGTATCTGTCTTATATATATGTGAATATTTGACAAGCGAGTGAAAGAAAGAAACATATGTTTATGAAACAGAGATAGATTATTAATGATGATAGTGTTCATACTTGAGAATAGAAAAGGTTACTTATTAAGTGCGTAAATGAGCACATATATGACAGAACTGAATAAAAAAAAAAGCGAATGTGTTTGTTGAACTGAATATCCGTTATGAAGTATAATATATGTACTTGAGAAAATGATACTTGTCGAATTGCCTTTTTTTTTTTCTTTTGCAACCTTTTTATTCATTGAAGCGATAGCAAAAAAATTCATTTCTTTTGTATTCATATGGTAATCAAAATGAAGGACAAAAAAAAAAAAAAGAAAGATTTTTATTTGAAATGTTTCTAAAAATTTCATAATTTTGGTTTGTTTTTATCAATTGTAGACAGAAAATGTTGAAAAAGCACTTTATAATTATCTTCAAATTTTATTACGTGATCGTATACATCTTGTTAATCGTTATGAACGTTTACGTGCTGTTGATCCTGAACAAGCCGAACGTAAACGAATGTCTATTCATGAAAGATTACGTCTTATTGTTGATCGAATCAATGATGCATTAAATCAACTTCGATTATATCCTAATCTTCAATCAAAAATTCAACCTCGACTTGGTAAGAAAATAATATCATTTTAAACCAAACGAGATATATATACAATTTTCATTGAATTTTGATTTTTGACAAGGTGAAGACATATATAAAAATGTTAACACTTTCAAATAAAAAAAGTAATTAGCAAATATGTCTTTCATCATATGAGAAATTCTATAGTACGAAGATTTCAGCAAGATCATCGAACTCTACAAATATTTGTCTTATCATCAGGTTATTAGAAAATTTTTTTTTCGCTGATATGTTTGTACTATATCATGTTGTTAACGAATATTAAATTATTATTTTTTTTTCTAAGAAGAAAACCTTTAAATAGAAATTATGAAATCTCAGAAGATTA